AGATAATACTGGAGATAATTACTATGCCTGGTTACAGTTTAAGAGCAATTTCCTGAGGCGCCACTTGTAAAAGTGAAAGAACATACATTGGAATGAGTGCTGGTCAGTCATCTACTACAAGAAAAATAAGGAGCTGGGCCACAGCCTGTTTTCCAGCGTTAGTTAAAGTAATAATCACGTCATCACCGATGAACCTGCAGAATCTTCCATGCTATTACTTTGCTATATGGAAACACAAACTCTTTGTGTAGAAAAACCAAATTAATCACAGTACAATTTTACCCAATTTATTTACAGTTGTGATAAGTTTTTATTATCTAAAAGCGGGAGTTATTAAAATCTAAACTAGAATTTGGAGTTCTGGAAATCAAACTGTATTTTTATTCCATGTAAGAAAGGAATCAGTAGCTTTATTAACAAGCCTCTTAGTATATTTATATTGAAAACTGCAAGAACATTGTTTTATGTTTTCTTTAAAGGAAACCCACAATTTGTTAAGGAATATTTGAACCTAAGAAACAATTAGCCTAAGATAAAATGGTGATAGGTACAATGAATCTTGCTTTAGAAACTATTGTTGCTCAGTGTTTACGTTTTTTAGATTCTCTAAATTTATGCTTACTATAAAAATGATGATTTTTTTCTTATGAATTTTGACAAAATCAGTGAAAGACTGAGCAAACCTTTGGCAAATTAAAATAAAGACCAAGGAACTAATTCAGTTCATTACTTCAGTTAAAAAAAAATCCATCTCTTACCTATTAGGCTTTGAGTTATGTGTTTGTGTGAATTATCAGTTTTAGTTATTTGGCAATACACACCTACAGAAAAATGGAGATTTTAAAAGCTAACTCTAGATGTTTTAGAAACCCCTAGATATTTGGTACAGAGAAGGTACTGCCTTAATACAGTGGGTTTTAAAAACAGAAGTTTTTCCCTGCTATAGCTTTAAGAAATAAAAGAGACAGACAATTTTTTCTTATCTAAATCTTTATTAAAAGAAAAAACAAACAGGTTTAAAACAATGGGTAACCACAAATTTCATTAAATATTAAACATTTTAATTATCAAAGATATTTAGACAATATTTGCTTAAGTTTCTGCACAGCAGAAGCACCTCAATTACAGAGCTCAGACTGTCACGTGCTCATGTGAGTTTATTTTTGGCATTAAAAGTATCTAAAGTCACATTTAAACAAGTGTGGTAATAGATAAACTGACAGTAAGTTATTTTTGATTGATTCTCAAATGTTTACAAATGATTATTAGGTGATTGACACTCCCTTGGAGGGAGACTTTTACAGACTCTTTCTGTAATGCTTAGCAACGCACTGAATTAATTTCCTTAAAAGTTCATAATATTAGCAAAATTCTTGAGAACTGAATTAGAAATTGTTTCTGTTTCTATTAGCATAATAATATTAAAATATTATAAGTAAACTGATTAATAACAAAAGTTTAAAAGTGAAATGACATAGATGTTAGTGAAAATAAATGATCATTTAAAATGTGGCTGGGCAGTACGTGACACCTGCGAGCACGCTCTTGAGCGCGTGACGTTTCCCTTTGTAAGTCCTGGAAGTTTCCCTTTGCAATCTGAGAAGTGCAGTATCATATTTACTGTATTTTTCAAAGGTCTACTATAGAAAAGATCACATATTTAAAGTTCCCTTTTAGTAAAAAAACAAACAAAGTGTCTACAAGTTTTTTCTTGCGTCTAGTACACATCCATGAACGTCCACTAGACGGAGATTGTTCAGCTGCACGAGGTTCTCGGCAGCAGTGAGGGCGTCACACACACTGACGGGACAAATGGTTTCCAACCAGTGAGCTCAGAGGACAACAAATGCAAGACTCGTTTTATCACTAAACATTGCAGGTTTTCAACTTTCTTAAAAAAACAATGTTTGTAAACTTGCCCACAAAAGTTGGGTCATATCCAACCGCCCGTAAGGCACTTTGTCAGAGGACCGAGTAGGGGAGGCTGCGTGATTGGCAATTTGTCTGGCAGGAAACATTCTGTCCTTAACGAGAGCAAACTAGAGCAGGGCGGTCCTTCTGCTGATTCACGGTCACACAAGAGTGCTAGAAGCTTTAACGTTTTTAATCTCACCGTGTTTACCAATTTTCCCTGCAGAAGACGTCTTTTCCTTGTAATTTAAAAAATATATTAGGAGCTATCAATTTAAATGACGTATTACTTTTCAACCTAATATTTAAAAGAATATGAACACATCAGTATTTTCAAAACATCCAAGCCACTCTATTAAAAATGAATTACAAAACAAAAGATCTTAGTATAAAAATGTTTCATGTTATTAACAATTCCCTTGCGACTTCCGATGGTTTCACATTTTACAGTATCAGCTTTGGTATAAAACATGCAAATACAAGCCAACAAGGTCGTCAACACAGCGCTGCTAACACAAAGCACTTGTCAAATGGGGAGTTGCACAGACACAGCAGGTGGGGAAAGAGTGACACACCGCTGTAGGGTGACCAGTTTGCTCTTCTACTTGTTCTTAGTTTGTGTGTTTTGCTCCTGGAAAATCTTCAGCAGAGATTGATTCACGTAATAGGGTCTTGCAGTAGAACCATCGTTTCTTTCTATATCGTCCACTAGGAGGAAGAACGGCACAGAATAAGTATTAAAGCAAAACTGTAGGAGAAGTAACAGCGCCATCTGCTGCTTACTTGCTTTACAGCAGTTCAGAATAGTGTTTTCTTAAACAGCACAGTTTGGCATGGACATTATTGTAAACATAGTTAGGAGAAAACAGCCCTTGTGATTTTTATCAGAACGATATTATCACATTTCTGTGTAACAGGTCAGAGTCTGCCAACATTGCGTGTCCCTCAGTTCTGCGAGGGAGAAAATAACTTTTACCTTCTTTTTCTCAACGTAGTAAATTACCGCATTTGTTCAAAATGGATTTTATTTTGCTGTCAACAATTTAGATAGTACAGCCTTGGAATATAAGACTTGTAAAACTGTCTAGTATTTCAAATCCATGAACTGCAAGTTTCGAGGGGCACCCCCCCTGCTTTTTCACGGCTATTAGTTTAATTGCTTTATAAGAAAATGGCTTCTATATTTCTTCTCAAAAACAATGCTCAATTTTGCTTTACATATTTCAATCACACAGAGAAGTAATAATGGAGACTATTTTTCTTACTAGAAATACCACAATATAAATAGGCAAATAGTTTCTTACATTGTTGGTTTACATTATATTCAAGTGATTTGCCAACTTATATGTGCATCAGAATGAAATAGAGAAATTTATAATAATTCACATGGTGGCCCAAAACCAAAGACAATAGATCGTGATCTCTTGGTTGGGGAAGCCATGGGCATGTATTCAATATATTTATTACAAGTTCTCAGGTAGAGGTCACTATTTTACTAGTTGTGACCCCTGTATTGTTGAATAAAATATTAATAATATTGTTGGAAAAAACATGTTGTCATTCTTCCCTGCTTTGTGCTTCAGGAAGAATAAGAAGGAAGAAGACTCTTTACCAAGATGTGAATCCAAGTGACACTTTTGACTGCAATAATCTCAAGAAAGTAATCAAAGGACAAATTGGTCGTCATTACAAGGACCAATATTTTGAAAATCTTTTCTGTTCACTGGCTTATGCTATAACCCAATGTTAGTCTAAATGTAGGTTCCCACACTTCAAAATAGTTAATTAAATTAGTACATATATATATTACTTTGCAATGTGATAATACTTTTCTAACTTTTCTTGGATGAACGGATCATATTCAGATCCACACATCCCTTTCTATTAATACATAAATAATCCTTATACACAAGCTTAGTGTAAAAGCTGAAAGGATGGGAATTGCCTGAATGCTGTTTTCAGGTGCATTATTACACTGGCAGACATATCATACACATTTGTACACAGGGATAGGCAAGGTCTGTGAGTGTCTGATCCAGGCTTCGCTCCACCCCTGTGGCCAGCAGGGGTGGAGGGTGGTGACAACTTTCCTCCTCAGACCTATGCCCTAGAGGGAGATATTTTATAACCCCAAGTATGCCCCTTGTAAAGATACCGGACAGGTACCTAAGAGAAGACCAACAGAATATTTTGTTAGGGTAAAATCTGAAAATCTCTTTTTCCTCACTGTAAGTTGAGCTAAAATTAAACCTTTTGTAGAACAAAGTCACATAATCTCTTTATTCTAGAAATACAAGTATGCCCATGAAAAGATGTAATCACTCGTCTGAAACAAATTCATACTGATCTTCTAAATGGGAGGAAAAGGAAATTTGGGTTAGAGACAAAACGGCTTGAGTGATGTGGCAATTCAAGTTTTTTGGTCAGAATATTTTTGTGGTGGCCAGAGGTTCATATTATTGGAAATGACATTCCAGAACTCAACATTTGACTTCAATACAAACATAATCTCACTTCAACAGTAATCTTACCCAGTAATGCTCTATGTAGAACTTGCATCACATTAACATCTATCTGTTTCTTATGCACTTGACTCATTGAAATATACTTACTAAAGAACCATTAATACAAGTTTAATCACAGTTTAGAGGGTTGTCCACCAGCTTCAACAGTATAAATATAACCATAGCACCATATTTACAAATTTAGTACCATATGCTGGCTAACTATAAATCAATATTTTTATGGCTAATTGATTACACATTTGTAGTGTTTTCAAAAATTGCCTGAATATCCTTTACAAATATACAGTTATAAAAAGAAAGGCTATCAAAGTGCTGTGACACAAACAGCACACTGAGTTATAAAAGTTATTAAAACATTTTCAGCTACAGATTTTAAAAAATGTTTGACATTAACACCTGGTGCGTCAGCTGGGACCACAGTCTAAAAATCAACGGAGGCTCCTGTCATCAAATTCTGGACACTGCAGGTGGTACCAGGAGCTGACATTTCAGAAATAAGCACAGAAATTTCACATCACTTGAAAGCAACAAAGTTACAATTGACCTAATTTACAAAACTTCTACTTAAAAGTGAGCGAGACTGTTGGGAGCTTTTTCTACTCTTTTCTGCTTCTGGGGAACTAGTTCCTTCTTGATGAGAATTTCATGGAGTTTAGGGGCTACGAAGTAGGGTTTTTCTGTAGATCCGTCGTTTCTTTCCAGATCTTCACCTGTTTGTGCGGCAGCCAAAGTGGGCAACGGCGACAAGCAGCGGCGCAATAATTATGCACGTTTTTATAAATTGGAGCGTCGTCAGGGAAAAATCAGAGAAATCAGCATTAGAAAGTCATATACAACAAGCAGCAATCTGAGCAGTGAAGTTGCAGATGCTGGACAAAGGCATGAAGACTTACCTCTGTCAGGAGGCACTGACTCTCCCCACATCCCTCCCACTCCCAAAGAGCATTATTTCGATAGTGAAAAGTTAACCATCACATACCAACAGCGGTCAGGGCACCCCCACCAATGTTTTCTTTCTTTTTGAATGTTAGGTTGTTGAAAAACCCATGGGTGGGGTTGGTCTCTCGCCCCTTCCCTCATTTTGGGATGTGATTAATAATCTCTTCCTGTCCTTTCAAAGGGGTTATCATTAAATCCCGTGACTCCTCATTTCAGAAAGAAATAAATGGCCACCTCTTTGGGAATGAAGCTGCATCAAGAGCGTATTAATCCTGTGGAAAACGTGGAATAATAATTGAATTTCAGAGTTTCAACTCGGTTTTAATGGCAGTCCACAGCCTAATGTCACAGATGAGGAACTGGAACCCTGGGACATAAAATGACTCTGCCCACGTCAGAAGCTCCAAGGCAATCGGGATGAGCCTTTGACACGGAGTCCAGTTTTCATCCTTCTCAACTATAGGACGTCCTGTCCTAGATCCCTACAGTCTGCTTCAGATCATATGCAAAAGTTAATATTAGAATATCTGTGTTTTCGGACTTCTTAATATGTGCATTTACCTCCTGCTTTGCTGGGGCTCTTATTCAGACGCTGGCATGATCCCGCTTGCTGGGGGATCTCTAGACTTCTGCTGAGAGCAAGACACTTACATGGAGTTCAGTTCCCTGCACTTATACAGTATTCGTGGTAGGTAGTATCTATTCTCCCCTGGGAACGGCTGGTCATTGGTTTAGTAGATCTTTACACCAGACCTCACAGTTCCTCCTCCACAACATGAATAGTTAAGAAGGGAGGTGACAGACACTAAGCATTTCTGTTCTTTTGTCCTTGACCCTATCTCTGCACAGTAATGCCCTCCCCACCACCTTGTGTGCAGATTTGCTTTCTACAGTTTTACTCTCCATGGTTCCAGTAAGCTGAGGCCAACCATGGTTCGAAAATATGAAACAAAATACTCCAGAAATAAAACAGTTGCTAAGCTTGAAATTGTGCACTGTTCTTCATAGATGGTGAAATTTCCTGCCATCCCAGCATCCCACCCAGGCTGTCCCTTTGTTAACGATCTCTATGTTCGTTACCTGCCCCTTACTCACTTAGTAGCCATCTCAGGGAGACTGTCCTGGAATTGCAGAACCTGTGTTCGAGAAACTCTGATTTTACTTCATAATGACCCCAAAGCACGAGAGTAGAGATGCTGGCAATTTGGATATACCAGGAAAAGCCTTAGAGTGTCTCCTTTAAGTAAAAAGGTGAACCTTCTCGAGTTAATAAGGAAAATGGGCTAATATTAAAATGCTGTTTTATACAGTAAGAATGAATCGACTAATCTGTGAAACTGTGAGGAAGAAAAGGAAATTTGTGCCAGTTTTGCTGTTACACCTCAAGTTCAAACTATGGGGCATGATAAGTGCTCAGCTAAGATGGAAAAGGCGTTACATTTGCAGGTGGAAGCCACGGGCAGAAATGTGTTCTGGTTGACGGCAGTGGGGTCTGGAACAACGTGAGTTTCCATGCCTGCCTTGGGGGTCTTGGAATCTATCTCCCACAATTAAGGGGGGTCTCCTGGATCACGTCCCGTGTCTGCATCATTGTTACCCTGAAGGTACTGGTAGGAAGCCTGGTCTGGGCCACATTAATCATCATCTATAACTATCATTTTTCCCACCCTGGGGAAACATTTGTGCACTGTTTCTATAAACGAACTATTTACTAATAACTGGCATTTGAACAAACACCAGTTTTCTGGCAGCCAAGATAATAGGTATAAAAAGATATATAAACAAAATTAAAAGTACAGTTTTGCACAATCAGAACTTGGCTTGGGGTGTCATTTAGGAGCATTTTCCAAAGCATAATGTTGCCCTAGGTAACATCTGGAGAGGGAAGAGAAATAAAATGTGATTTCCCTTGTTCTTTATTATCAAAAACAAGAGTTTCTGGAAGGGACTATTTATGTCAACACACAATGTATTGAATAAAGCTGATATTATATCCTGCTTTCAAGGAGTTGGCAAATGGTTAATAAATGTGGAAAACGTTTCTTACTGCTTTAATGCAAAATCTACTGCCAAACTTAAAATCTACACAATTAGCCAAAGCCTCCAAAGACTGGAAACAAGTAGACATTTCCTGAGACAAACTTTGAGGCATATTTTCAGCTACAAGAGTGGGGAAGACCACAGAGGGATCTCCAAATTTTGCTTCCATCGTCAGTGTTTGAGATGAGAGCAGAGATCCCGCAACACGCCAGCAGGTGTCCTCAAACTACAGCCCACGGGCCGCATGCTGCCCATGGAGGACATTTATCCGCCCTGCCGGGTGTTTTTGCTGACGCTGCCTGTCCTGTTTAGCAGCCGACTCATCCTGGGGCCCTCAGTCCGGCCCTCCAGGGGTCTGAGGGACAGTGAACTGGGCCCCTGTTTAAAAAGTTTGAGGACCCCTGCGTCAGAGCCCGTCTCCACCAAGTCTCCGCACTACCTTCCTCCCCGGCTGCTTCTTCCGTCCCACACCGGAACTGGAGCTCATTCATGTGGCATTTTGTGGATGGCTTTTCCTAGCAAACCATCGAGTCACTGGGAATAGATTAAACATCCCTATTCCATTTATAGCCAGAGGAAGAGCTAACTAGCATAGAAATGGATTTTTTTTTTTTTTGGTTCAGTTATCAAACATTGATTTTAATGTTTGAGAAAGGAAACAAAAATAAGAGCAGACTATTGTCCAGGAGCTTTGTCTTTGAATATATCTCCCTGTGGTTACTATCTCCTTTCCTGACCCCAGTGTGAAGTTAGTGTTATGGGTTATTCTAGAAAATAAACTGTTAGTTTTATAGAAGAAGATTGCTCAGTAAAGCCCTGCGAGAGAATAAGATGTCTTTCTTTCTCTTACAGATGTCAGAGAAATAATCTGCCAGGCTGTGTAGTCATAACAAGTGATGTCATTTTACCTGTTCTTTTATTTCTACCTATGTTCAGCTTGCTGCAGAGATGGCCGTGAAGGTTAGGGCCAAACAGAGTGCTGCGGGGCGCTGAGCTCTCCAGGACTTTTCAGATGGGGCACTACTGCAAAACGTCCTGTGAGCTTGTGAGCAGTGTCCACACATGGGGCGTAGGGGACACTTCAGGGACGAGAGCCCTGAAGGCTCCGTCTGCTCTGTGCATCTACATTGGTCCAGCCACTTCCTAGACACGCACTTCTCTGAATCCTGCCCACTTATCATCATCATGTCACATAGTGTACATGGGCCCTGGATGTCTTTGAAACCATTGCCAACTTTGCTCTATCAGAATCTATAACTTCTGTCCTCAAAGAACTCTAAAACCTGGGTTCTAAGGTTCAGTGACATCCTCGGTTCTATTAACCAAGCACAAAAGGAGCCAACTGTTATTATACATTTGAAAACATTAAGAAATGAAAAAAATAATTCCATGCCAGCACCATGCCAGGAAGCCTGGGGTTCATTTCAATAGTCCACTCGTCTGTGCTTTGTGAACTCCACTCTCTGTTATTAAGGGTTTTGTTGCTGTAGTTGTTTTTTGGTTTTTTGGTAATTTTGAATCTTTCCCTAAGCTTTTTGGAAGTATAATGTTTTTCTTCAACTTTGCTGAGGGATAATTAACAAGTAAAAATACATATATTGACGCTGCACAAGTTTTGATCTACGCATAGGACCTGAAATGACGAACATCAAGCTATTAACATTCTCACCCTGTTACAGAGCTGTCCTGGGTGTGTGGTAAGGATACTTAGGACCTACTGTCTTTGCAGACGTCAGGTAAATAATATAATATTAACCGTAGTCACCAAGCTGGGAATTAGCTTTCCATAGTTTATTTATCCTGTATCATTGAGAGCTGACACCCTGGCCCCTCCATCCCTGGTCACCCCCTTCTGCTGACTGTTTCTGTGAGTTTGACTTTTGTAGGCTCCACATATAAGTGAGATTGTGATGTGTTTACCTCTCTTTGTGTGTCTTATTTCTCAGCAGCTAAGGTTTACAGAGCATCTACTAAGCAATGTCTCCTTTCAAATGAACCCTGTGTGGTGGTGACAGCCGAGCCGGGGAGGATGCTGGCCGTCACCTTCTCCTCTGTCAGTTACCCACGGAGCGGGAAACACACACAGTGAATACTTACAGAAGCAGAGAAAGATGGTCTCAACACACATTGCATAGACGCTGAAGAACCCATGTGCGATCAGGTAAGATCCCAAAACGACAGTCTGGACATGGATAAAGAAGAGAAATGACATGTCATTTTGACCAGAAGAACCATAACGCAGCTATAAATGAAAACCCCGACGAGGAAGTTCTGAAACGCTCGGTGTTGGAACAGATTTCAATACAGAGACAAAACATTTTAATGGTAGTGCTTTGTGCGCTTTGTACTGAGATTTAAACAAAATGTATTAAATTACTTGACCATTTTCTTAGCTTCAGCCCCACTGCCTATCAAAAATGTTCCAGTTTAAAAAACAAACCCCATTTTTAAGATGCTGTACACATAAAGAGTAAAGCATTCGGGGTTAAGAGCACATATAGCCTGAATTTTAACCCCAGCTCAGGTGCTCAGCAAGTTAATTGACCTCTCTGTGCCACTTATAGAAAACTGGCATAAAGGGGGGCAGGGTGTGAGTAATGAAGGTTTTTTGACACCTGCAGTCAGTGAGTTAATAATATGCTGTAACAGATACCGCAGGGCTCCACCCAGACCTCATCCAGCGGCCTCATCCATCCCCAGCTGCCGGAAATGTAGGCAGCTGCTTCCCTCACTAAGAATTGCCCTCCGTGCAGGGAACTGTCTCATCTAAGGTTACAACCCCATCCAGGGGCTGCTCATAGCCAACAGCTGCCTGATGCAGTATCCAAAGGCCCCTTCCCTTTGCCAGAACTTTCTGTAATTCTGAGCCCTCTGCTGCAACTGCAGCACAGGCCACCTTCTCCTGCTCTCCTGACCTGCCCTCCTCACTTCCTTCCAAGTATATCTTGGAGGGAACTTCCTGATAAACCTTCTGCACAGAGTCCTCTGCTGGACTGTTTCCGAGGACCCCAATCTCTAAAGCGAAAGAGCATCTACTAAGCAATGTCTCCTTAGGGGGTGGGCCTCAAGTAAGACCAATAATGTTAGTAGTCATTATCATTTCTCCTGTTCCTTTTTGTTTTATATTTTGCTACCTCTGATAAATCAGAGAATCAACAATACCCAGCTGCATGGACTGAGTTGTGTACCCCCCAAAATTCTTAAGTTGAACCTCTAGTCCCCAATGTGACTTGAAGGTGGGGCCCTTGGGAGGTAATTACATCCCAAGAGTGAAAGAATTGCCCTTACATCTGTGAGTACAGGCAGGTGTCCCTCTGCACACCGGGAGGAGGCACCTCATCAGGAACCAAATTGGTCAGTGCCTTGACCTTGGACTTCTCAGCCTTCAGAACTGTGGGGGAATAAATTTCTGTTGTTTAAGCCTCCTGGTCTATGGTCTCTTTGTCAGAGCAGCCCAAATTGTCCTGGATATCAGTTCTTACCAGCAAAGGTACCCAGTAGTAATTTAAAGATCTTGGTGCCTCTACAATCATTGCCATTCTCTGTGTGAAGAACAGGAAGCCCAGAACACCTGTTCATACATTGAAAAGGCAGAACACGCATATCACACACTTGCAGAGGAATGTAGCTTTTTGCAGCAAAGAGTTTTCCCACCACCTTTTAAACTGTGTGTTATTGTCTCAGTATCACTCACCTATACTCCCAGCAACTAGAATCTTCCCCAGGAAGAGTACAAAGAATGTAACTTCATCCGTGACTGCAACTCTGAGTATCAGAAAGAAAAGCAAGTTTCATCTCATGTTTAAAACACACTTGTTACTTGAAATTTATGGCAATAGATATTAATGGGTTCATTCTGATGTGTTTTTGCTGATATTTTATTTGTCAACTGTTTTGCACGAAAGGAAGGTGGAACCCAGGCAGGGAGCTTTGACTTATTGGTAGTGAAGACACAGATGGCATTCAGGGCTGTTGGTGCCCTGCAAGGGTGGGATCAGCCCATCTTTCTTTAATTTGAGGCTTAAAGATACCCTGACCCCTGAGGATGCTATATTTGTTCTCTGATTTCATTCATTGGGGTTTCATCAATTTGGAAGGAGGAAATGGCCAGAGACAAGATGATGATGTGGTTCATCTGGGGAGTTTCTTACCCAGAGGGGATAATAAAAATGAATCAATGCCAGTGGATAGCAAGATACAAATGGATGATGAAAGCAAAAATTCTAAGCTAGGAAAATAAATTAATGGTTTGAGAGAGAAGATGTAAGTCTATCATACTAAAAGACAAATATTCATGTCCAATAATGCCACCAACACTTCAAGTAACGTATGAAGGATGGAATGCCCCAGGTTCACCAAATTATTCATTGCGTTTTTCAACCTGATTACTTACTTTAAAATGTTTCTCATCAGCAGATTGAAAGCATCTCTTGTTGACCTACAGAAGTTTTTGCCATATACTGCAATCTAAGGAAGATAATCAATATTATTCTGGTACCAATAATATATTGTAACAAGAACAATGGACAGTCCAATCAGGAGAATAATCAACTAAACTCCTGTTATTCATATAACTACCCCATTTCTCCTTCTGGCATTTGGGTCTGTGGGAGGCCTGGGTACTATATGTCCTCAATTCCGCACAACTCTCAGGGTCACTGACAGGAAGGTCATTGGGTGCCCATAATCGCCGGGAGACAAGACAGCCACAAACAGAGGCAAGTCTTGTTCCCAAATCCTAGGTAATGGCTTCTGTCTTTGAAACGTTTTGGCTAGAGTTTGTCACCGAATGGGCTAAGTATCATAGTCTCTACATCAAAGATTACTCTTAAGGAAACCCAATGATTTTCCCTATGCTTGAAAACCCAATGATTTTCCCTACGCTTGACTGACTAAAAGACTCAATGTAATATTCTCACCAGAAGCAAATTCATGACTAATTCAATCACTTTGCAGACCCTGTGTCACTGTGATAATAAGCAATTGTCATAAGGTTGTTCTTTAGCTTCTAAATTTTGTAAGAATTATATTTTTTGATCCCTTATTTAAAAAAAAAAACTACAAATCTCTATATTCCCACAGGAAATATGAGAGAATTTTGTCAAGCATATCCGGTGCCCACGTTTCAACACAAGATTTATAAAAAGAATCAATCCCTTACTTAAAATTATGTAAATTTCAGAATTAGAGAGATACTTTCTTCTCAGAGGGAAATAGACTATGTAAACTTTTTTCCTGCTAACCCATATCAAAGGCACATGGAACCATTTCAATGTAGCACACTTTCAGATTTCCAATACCAATCTTTTTCCTTTCAAAAAAGATATTATAGGTAACAATGGAGTACAGTCAAGATACTATGGCAACTAGGGGAGCATAGCCCTAAATCTTGTACTGGATTTGCAAGTCTTCATACCAGCACGGTGATAAATTCAACTGCATGATATAAAAGTGCTTTAAAGAGGGTGATGCAGACATGGCATTTGGGTTTGCAAAGAAGCAGCTTGAGAGACAAAAATATCACCTACTCACCATAATATAGGCGTTTCTGTTTAAAAATTTTATTACTTTATCCAAACACCAGAAACAGCATTTCAGGCAGTGTTGTAGCAATTTTAAAAACTTGTTGTGAACATCTATATAAAAGAGAGATTTAAATCTATTAAAAATTTATAGCTGAACTCTATGAATCAAAAGAAATATAACCAAATGTTTAAAATGGGCTTTAAACTTTTTATCCTGGTAAAATAGACCTAATATAAAATTTTCCATTTTAACCATTTGTAAGCGTACAATTCACTGGTGTTGAGGACATTTGCAATGTCGTGTAGCCATCACCAATGTTTCCAGAATTTTTTGTCATGTCAAACAGAAATTCTGTACCCTTTCAACAATAATTCCTCATTGCCCTTTCCCCTACCTCCTAGTAACCTCTATTTTACATTCTGTCTGTATGAATTTGCCCCTTTTAGGTATCTCGTATAAGAGGAATCGCACAATATTTGCCCTTTTGTTTCTTGTTTATTTCACTTAGTATACAAGTAATGTTCAGCATTCACCATCTCATCCCTTTTTAAGGCTGAATTGTATTCCATTATATGTAAATATGTAAACTTATTTATGAGAATTTGTGTTGCTTCCACATTTTGGCTACTGTGAATAATGCTGCTGTGAACATTGGTGGGCAAGTATCTGCCTTCCTGCTCTCATCCCTTTAAATAGAAGTGGAATTTCTGAATCACGTAGAAATTCTATTTTTAACTTTTTAAGGAGTCACCATCCCGCTTTCCACAGTGGCTATACTATTTTACATTCCCACCAGCAATACAGCAGAGATATAATTTCTCAATAACCTCACCATCACTTGTTCTTTTCTTTTCTTTCTGTTTTTGTATTTCATGTGTGGTTTTGATTTGCATTTCCCTAGTAACTAGTGACATTGAGCTTCTTTTCAAGTTCTTATTGGCCATTTGTAGATCATATTTGAATAAATGACTATTCAAGTTCTTTGCTTATTTCTGAACTGGGTTACTTATTTTTACTTATTTATTTATTTTTTTTGCTCTTGAGTTGTAGAAGTTCTTTATATACTCTGGATAATAATCCCTTATTGGTATGTGATTTGAAAATATTTCCTTCCATTGTGTGGGCCATCTTTTCACTCTTTTGATCATGTCCTTTGAAACACAAATGTTTTTCATTTTGATGAAGTCTAATTTATTCTTTATATTTTTACCTATGCTTTTCATGTGGTATTCAAGAAGTCATCACCAAATACAATGTCATGAAAATTTCCTCCTTTGTTTCTGCTGAGAGTTTTATGGCCTTAGCTCTTATGTTTAGGTATTTGGTCCATTTTGACTTAATTTTTATGTTTGGTATAACGTAAGAATCCAACTTCATTATTTTGCATGTGGATATCCAGTTTTCCCAGCACCGTCAGTTGAAAAGACTGACCTTTCCCCAATTGAATGGTCTCATATATGAGGTTTTATTTCTTGGATATTCTTCTTTTCCAGGTCTATGTCTGTCTTTATGCCAGTACCACACTGTTTTGATTGCTATAGCTTTGTGATAGGTTCTGAGATCAAGAAGTATGAGCACTCCAACTTTGTTGTTCCTTCTCAAGGTTATTTTGCCTATTAATCATAAAATCTTTTAAGGTACACACCTTGAGCAGAGTTTATGTGTTTGTAAAATATATGTGTCATCCATTGATGAAGACTTCTGCCAGTGACGTCCACATTTATATTTTAAGCATATCTTGACCTGCGTTCTGGACATAGAACTGCCCACCTGATATCTCCACAATGTTTCTCAATAACAACATGGTCAAAATAGATTCTCAACCTCCTTTTTGAAGTTCATTTTATAAGTAGGATCACACACACTTTCTCTCTTTTCCTCACCACCATTTCCCCACTCTTTCAGCAAGTTCTGCTGAAGTTTCCTTCAGAACATATCCCAGCCCTGTCTCCTTCCATCCTTGCTGCCCTAGTCGCAGCCATCAGGTCTCTCTCACCCCCCTGCCCCATCTATCCTCTTCACAGGAGTCAGAATATCTGAGATAAATTTTGGAATCTTACGTTTAAGACGGCGGTCCAAATATTCTAGGAACATTTTAAATATTTGAATTGTTGCAAGAATTAAAGAACCAAATGCTAGGGATCCTGTGTGATACCTGGGCAAAAATGAAATGAGAATATAAATGAACATATCTTTACCATCACCTGAAAGGACGCTAGTTGAACAACTTTCACAGGTAAAAGGGACCTGAAGGAGGATTAAATGAGGAACAGCTTTTTGTACATTTTTACTCAGACTAATAAAGGGTCTCCATAGAGGATTTTAAACCATATACACCTGTCTTGCCTTTCATCAACATAAAGAATACCCAACAGCCTGTCATCATAAAATGCGATCTTCTAGCTGAGCACTGAAAATCCAGAGGCAAGTTAATCCTTGTTCTTTCATTCAGCTTTCTTGCCTTCCTTCTCGCTCCTGTTCCCTATAGTGTGTAGAAGGAGGTTGGCCTGGGTAGAGATTGTAAAACTGTGGCTGCAAAACCAGACAGAACCAGTGGGCGTCCATTAACCTTGGATCATACCTTCGACCTCACTTGTATATTGACACTGGAATTAGGGGTCCAAGACTGGATTACAAGCACACTAAAGGTAACTGAGCAGACAGGTGTAGGGTTTGACACAGAGCTTACCGTATGGCTCGTCCAAATGCAGTAAAAAGCGGATGAGGTGGGATGTCCTTGGGTTTGTTCATGGCCCAGTAGTAAGTGGCGAAGGCACCAGCAAGGGAACACTGACCCAGTGCAATGACAAAGTTTATAAGCCAGAGAAGGACAAATAGGTTGTATGCATGGAAGGTGGGGATGTATTGCTCGTACAAAGTCTGTCCACCATAGGATACAAAGTTACACAGAGCCCCAGGGCAGGCTTTGGCAATGGCAGATGTCTTAAAAATCTGTACTCAGAAAAAACAAAAACAAAAACAAAAACACACAAGAATAAAATATTAAATACCAATAGCCTTTTCCCTGCCTTTTCCTCTTTTTTAGCCTCCCAGTTGCATGTCCTGTTTTTCCTGAATTAGCTTCTGCTGTGACTCTACTTTCTATCAGCTCACTTTATATAATTCTTTAATAAGCTTTCAGAAGTATCTTACTTTTCATTATATGCTCATCACTCTTCACACACTAAAATTTCACACTTATTAGTGTTGTTGCTGACCATACCTTCTCCTTGGCTTTACGATAGGACAAGCAAGCTCAAGAGATAACCACAGTGCTGTCCGTCCATTCTGCCACTGTTTCCAGTGCCCTCCTGACCCACCTCCCATACGGTACCCAGGGCCTCCGTCCCTGCTCAGTGCTGCAGTCTCTGCTTCAGGATTACTCACAATTGCAAGTGGAAACACAGGAGAATTCTGCACTGAAGTGCACACACGGGAGAGCTTCTCTTACTTACCTCTGGGTTACAGGTTTCATTTTCATGTTCACAGTGCCCCTCAGGGTCTATGACTTTGTACACGGGTATCCCTGATGTGGCCAGGAAACTGAATAAGCTCCGTTAAGGACAAACTATTTGCTGGCAGGTTGAAAATAAATGGACAAGGAAATAATACAGATAACTCAAAAGTCCATGGAGAGCTTAGTTTCAAAAAGCTTCTAATCTTCTCATAATTCTCATCCATTTTCAAGTCTAAATTACTACACTGTGGGCCAGCTGCACTGAGTGGGCCGTTTAAAACAGCATATGTAGGAGCCTCCTTGCCGAAGAGAAGCATCGTAAGAGAAGACACAACGGAACAGCTCCACCCTATGACCTATCCGAGGGGAAACGCAGTTGGTAGACTGAAACCTTTTTTAGGCCTTGGGAAAAACATACCCATTTTTCTTTAGGATGTTCTTAATCTTTCCAGGGATGGAAAACGCTGGACACAAACTCCTGGTTCCTGAACCGTAAGTGACTCTGAGGTTTAAAGAGGTCAGTTACCAAAGGATACACTGCTGTCACCACCCAGTAGGAAATGCAGATTGAGAGCAGAGTGAAAGTTAAGAGTGGATAAAACAACGTGCTAGGGATGTATCTGATGGCTCTGGAATAAAAGAAATGGTTGAAATTCAAAATCACGTTCCAATCAGAGCTGTACTTTTCCAGTTAAATTTTTAATCTGTTAGAGCGAGAAATAAGCTTTGGACTGAATTAATTCTAAGAGCAGTGATAACAACCATTGAATTTTTTTTTTTTTTTGAAGATCATTCTGTGATATTTTTAGTTGTTTTTTATTTTTATCTATTCATGTAAATTGGGGCATTTTTATGGTGCTCATGTTTGATTCCTGCTCAAAGTCCCCCAAATTCTCCTCTCTCTGGTTATTTCTGTCTGACATATAAAAACCTGATACATCAGAATCATGAGATGTCTTCCTTTCGTTTAATTCTTAAGACTTTTAAAATTGAAGACGATCTTAAAGGTGGGGTCCTAACTGTTAAACACCTCCCTGATTTGGGAATCCCTTCTTCCACTATCTTCAAAATGTGTCCACGAATCACGGGAATTTACTTCCACCTGACACAGCTTATTCCGTTTTCTTGAGGAAACGCCTGAAAATTCTTCCGAATCTGTCTGCTCATAACTTGGATCCACTAACTCCTGGGGAAGAGATGGCCATTTTACCATCTTTCCCACCTAGCAACCCTTCAGGTAACTTCTTAATCTTTTTCCCTTCAGGGTAATAATTTCTTTGATTCTTTCCTCACAGGACAGGCCTTGTGAAATTTGCACCGCCCTGGCTGCACTATTCCTAACTACTTCTTTTAAATGATCTTTTTAGCACATGACGCTGGATTAAGCAGTGTTTGCCATAGCTTCTGAGAAATAAGAGAAAGCGTTGACCACTGCTAGTGCACAGACACTCAGCCTGTTTCTGCATGGTTACCTGCCTCGCCTGGCTATTTGAGCTGTGCTGTCCCCCCCTTTCTCCACACACCGCTGTGAAGTGGATTATTGACTGTCCTGGGGTTTCCCCGTATTCTCACGCAGTTCTCTCAGGCCCCGGTAGTTGTACTGATTGGACTTCTAATGCACACATGCACATTTAGGGGGGTGACGAGTGGCGTTAGTTGCAGCGAGCTGCACAATATCATACTATTTAAGAACTGAATCCAGCAAATCAGTCGTTTTCAGTGGCTAATGATAGGGCTTCAGTCATTATAAGGATGAGAGAGAGTTTAACAAACTGCTTGTTAACCATTGAAACCACTGGCTTCAGGTGGCTCTATTATTATTATAGTAATAATATGGTAATTTTGTTAAGGTAATCCTTAAACACCATTAAAAGTAATTTGGGTCTTGGTCATTAACAACTTAATTTCCATCATCCTAAACAGAGCCTGGCTGTTGGCTGCATAACAAGAAGCCTCCCTTGTTTCTTCTAGGCCTGGATAAGAAGTTCAGAGTATTATCCTCAAGTGATCGTTTGGAATAGTTTGGAAACTGTAGGTGTTATTACCTATCAGCATGAATTTTATGAAAGGCTTAGTGTTTATTTTATAACTTTCTAAAAAAGTAAAATGGCTCTGGGTATAAAATGTTCCAGAATTATGAGCTTTAGGTATAAAATGTATAGTCCGATGCTGCGAAACAGATTGTCCCATTAGAAAATTTTTTCTCTCATACAAAAGTGGTAATAGCACATAATTTGACTTTATGGAATTATGGTGATTGAAAGTTCTATAAGTGATCACAACCATTAATATTAGCACACGACTCAATAGAGAAATAATATAACCTATAATAT